CTTCCTTGTCCGACATTAAACAGAGCCCGGCAGAGGAGGGAGGGGCGGGGAGGCTGTTGCCGTGCAGCACTTCAAGAGCTGACCTGCGTCTGACCTCAAAGTGCACAAGCAACCAACTTCAGCGTTGGCTGCGATTTTGAAGCTGAAATCGCGTTCGGTGTGAACGCTGCATTAGAGAGGCTTTTATATCAGAACACGGCCGCTGCGACGAAACCGTGGAGAAGACACGTCATCGTGGAGAAACGTTAACCAATATGGAAATGAGCCTGTAGTACCACTGCTCAACCCATAGAAAGCAGCAAAAAGACCTTTTTAGACYAAATATTGCAGATTTGAAAAAATACGAACAAAAACGCCAAAATTAGCTCAGAAATAGTAGTATATAACATTTTAGACACATTGTAGATAGTTTATCAGCTTAAAAAAGTTAATTCGGGGGTAAGTTACCCTTTAAAGATGTTCATTTTGAGCAAAAAAGGAGTAAATATCAAGTAGTTCAAAAAATCTGTTATAAAAGGAACCTCTCCGTGTAAAGAAAAAATATATATATATTTTCTGAACCACTGAATTAATATAAATGAACTTTTATGTAACAGTTCTGTTATACACAAGTTCAGTTTAAAAACCAGTTAATGAAATTTTGGCGACATCTAGTGACGAGTAACAGCAATAACAATAAGCAACTACAAAAGTTCCTTGAGCATTTTTTTTTTTATTTTGGTACTGACGTGTGGCCACTGTTTTAAACTTAAGATTTGGCCCAGCTCCCACAACATCACATTTGAGCAGAGCATGTAAAAAAATAGTTATATTAAATTAAATTTATCTTTGGTGGTCATCATGGATTTTGTATTTACATTCATATTTTGCTAAAGATTGTTCTTGGCTACTACTATGTAAGATTTCAGCTGTGTGTTTTTAAATGACTAAATTATAGCCCTTTTGTAAATTTTGCATTACTGCTTATTTTAAATTAGGAATAGCAACGAGCTCGTATTTGGGATCATTCGTAGATACACCACAACTAATTTCAGTTAAAAAAAGGTACTGAAGTGGCTGAATTATGGCCATTTCAAGTTCACCTTAGTTGGCATGTAACATTTTTGGTTAGCATTTATAATTTTTAAAGGATATAATAGGCTACTACTACATAYTTTTCAGCTTTGTCTATAAAAGGTTGAATTATAGGTTTCTGTAAAATTATCATTAATGGTTATCTTGGAGTAGGACTAGCAATCAGCATGTCTTTGGGATCATTCTTGGCTATTATCACGCAATATTTTAGATCAGTATTTTCTATAAAATACCTGAATTACATTCATTTGAAAATAGATGTGGCACCCATATTGAATTTTCACATCTAGAGTAGTTTTTTTATGTGCCCCCTAAAAAACACGTTGTCAACTCTGTGACCCCACTTGCAAAAAAAAAAATCTAGCACCTCCCCTACTTTGGAACCCATTCATTTAGCTTTTTTTCATATGCATGGGAATAATAAATTATTTTAAAGCATAAATGAGAAAAACATTAAGAAATTAGAAAAATGTGTTACAACGACTTATGGTTATGAATCTAAAACCACCTTATAATGATCCTTGAAATGTGATAATTCCCAGGATCAACAATATCAGTAAATGCAAATAAAAATAAGCACAGGAACATAACATAGTTTACCTTGTCCTCCTTCAAACAGATGTTTACCTCTTTGGAGACTCTGTCTTTGAAAAAAGTCTGAGGTAGTTGGACCATTCTGGAAAGATGTAACAAATAATGAAGGTTAATAACATCCTTCAGCTAGCTAGGAGGAAAGAAATTACCTTAATCCTACTGACAGTTACCCTAAAGTGGTGAGGTTATCCTACTAAAATATAGCCTACCTGTTTGACTCATTATCACTCCTATATTATTCACTCATCTATTACCTTTTCCTCTTCTATGGCTGATGACCTCTTCTGGAACTCTGCTCTCACGAAGGAATTTGGAGACAGTGGTCACACTGCACATGCACATTTTGTGAAGATGCAGCACAACAGTGTTTACCTAACAATTAAAACAGGGTCACTGTGCCAGCTTTGCTGAGATGCGCTGAAATCCTTTGTTGAATGTTTAATCACATCATGTCAATCAACAGTTGGGGAAGTCTCAGCAGATCACATTACGAACACAATTCAAGTGTGCAACTTTGCAGAAATGCTAACAACGTTGCTATTAGTTTTAGCTAAAAGACCGGCTGAGGTGCTTATCCAGAAGAAAAAATAGGAGGRGAGATGACCTGTAACTCTCAAGCAGTAGTTATTGCAGCAGAACAACACCTACTTGMTGCAGCCCTGTTGAAGCTTCTTCCTCACAGTCTCAGACGGATCTCGTTCACGGCGTTCATGACAAGTCTGCACCTGGAAGAAGTTCTTCTGATCCAGGAGAAGAGCGCACATGCCCGCATAAGCAAACTAAACTCTAGGCAATATTCTGGCATTTTTGGTCGGAAATATCCGATTTTAAATCTAGAAAACTTGTGTTTTTTTTTCTCATGAGTTTACTAGTTTTTTTTTCTTGTAAATTTCTGCCTTTAATTATGGAAATTTCTGAGTTTTTTTCTCACAAATTTGCGATTTTTCATCATAAGAAAATTTTCTGTTTTTTCTTGTGAATTTCTGACTTTACCGTGTCAGAAA